ACTCGGATGTGGGGAAGGGGAGAAACAAGCAGACTCTGCATAAACACAAGGCCACCTCAACAAAACAAGCAGTGGACAGGACAATGTTATTTCCAAAGGCTGCAGCTTCTCCCATCCACAGCCTGAAGTGTGTCCAAGACATTCTGAGTAACCAAAGCTAATCCCATAAATGTGCCCTTACCCTACCCAGGCAGGGTGAACCAGCGTGCCTACGCCCTTGCTCGTCTCTGTCAGTGCCATCGCCTCCCAAATTCCTCCTCCTAATTGCACAACCCAATTCAGCATCATGCCAGTTTCTTCCCCTCCCAAGCTCCGAGCCAAAGGAGCTCAGAAGGGAAGGAGAGGAGCTCAGAAGGGAAGGAGATGAGCGTGACCGTGGCTCCTGCAGACAAACAGCCCGTGCTGGAGCCCTTGGCTCACACAGCGGTGCCTTGAGACGACAGCTCTGGGGACAGCGGGGGCACTCGGAGACAGGGCRGTGCCTCGCCCCGCAGCTGCGACAGCACTGCGATTCTGCCACACAAGATAATATTTAGGGAGCTTTTGGCCTGCCAGCAGCACTGGGGACTGGCTGACAGCTGCCACCACAGCACTGACAACAAGCCCTGACACCGTGCCGGCCTCCTGAAAGGGAGTTATTCTTCAGGCTCTCATTTGTTTTGCCGATGCCGAGGGCACACACGGCCCCAGCCTCTGCCAGCTCACGTCCTTCCACCCACTGCAGATATGAGTGGTTYGGAGCAGCTCCGGAGCTCCCACGCACAACAACATGTTGCATCTCTGCTGCAGGAGGAAGAGACACTCCGGATTCACCAGCAGYGACAGCACCACAGCGAGGAAGGGAAAAAAAATACAAAAAAATAATCTTGTTCTAGGCAACATTTATACCCAGTGCATGCACTGAAAAGAAGTGTTTAACTGCCATGGGCTGTGGTTGAGTTAATTGGTTCTGTGGTTGAGGCAGGCAGAGCTGGCTTCCTGCGTGAGGACAGGCGAGATTCCAGGGGAGGGATTGCGGGGCTCGGAGACGCAGCCGCCAATTTGTCCTCTCCAGTGGAAGGCCATTTTCCCCATCGTTCCTTCCCAAAAAAAGCATACGCTACAGGCAGAAGAGCTGGCCAGGGCAGGGAGGGAAAGGGCTGCTCCTGCTGGGTTGGCTTCCTGGTGCCTGCTACCAGCTTGGAGAAAAATCTGTCACTTGYGCTCCACACTGCATGGGGGATCACTTGAGTTTTTCCAGGATAAAGGTAAAATAACTGAATAGCAAAARCAGACAAGGAGATTTAATGCTGGAACTTCCAGATGGTGCCACTGCCTGGGTGGAAGAGAGAGCAGGAGGAATGTCCGAATTCAAACCAACCCCATTTTCCACTGGAATTGAGCCATGGAAAGGTTTTCCTTGAGAATTTGTTTAAAAGCAAATGTAAGCCTGTGCTTAGGACCTGCAGTGATAAGACTTCTGGCAACCACTCTGCCCCAGTCATGGTACCAAGAGCTGTTCTCAGCTCACTCCCCAAGCCCATCTGTCACAGACTAAGGTCTTCCCTTTCACAGRGAAGAGAGGATTTAGGCTGTGCAGTCATCCCTGAGCTTACAGAAAGCAGCARCATCACATGAAGTTTATCAATGCAGGCAGTTATGGCAGAGGCAGGCATCATCCAAAGGTCCCCCTCCTCCCCCAGAGCTGGGAGCAGGTGACAAGAAGGCAGTGGTGTGTAAATAGGTAACGCTCACACACAGCTGACAAACTCATCAAATCCTCCCCTGTCTCAGCAACTCRCTGAGACAAAGCAAATCCCACTGTCTAATTCCAGCAAAGAAGGGGCTGTTCAGCTTTCCACTGTATAAAGTGGTGTTTTTTCTGCATGATCTTCTAATGGGCATTAATTTATAGCAAAGCTGCCAGCACCAGCAGTTACATGAAGGGAAGTCTCAGTATTGCATGTGGACAGCCATTCCCARCCACAGCTCTATGTACAGTGTCCAGTGCTCTCTTCCCTGGGCATCAGTGCTCACACATCCCTGTGCGTGCAGGCAGTCACAGTGTCCACACAGAGCAGTCAGCCAGAAGTTAGCTCTTCATGTTAAACTCTTATCTCAGCCCAGCCTTGGGGCTGAGGACACCTGCTCCTTCTCACAGAATGCAGCTGCTCAGCTTGGAGCCCACTGCCTTTGCATTTCCAAGTCAGGCTGTGAGTTAGTGCAGATAGCTAAGCTACAGCGTTTTGTGAGGTCAGTGGGTTTTACTTACAAAGGGAGAAAGCAACAGATTTGGGAAAGCAGAAGTCTTACAGTCTCAGTCTCACATCTCATCCCATTTACTCTCCTACGCATCTCCAGTCGCTTCCCTGTCACTTTTTCTCCTTCCAGCTTTTTCAAGTTCCTTCAGAGCTTCTGCGTTTCCCTGGTGTATTTCRAGCACCTTCTGGCTTCCGCTGGCATGTGGTGGCGGGTTTGTTTCCCACTCCACATCCCAACATCCTTACTAATACTGCCAGTGTCAGCTCCAGCACAGTCACTGCATGTGCTAACTCAGCACTGGCCAGGCCAGGCAATGGAGAAGCTCTGAGCTTTAGTAAGGAAATAAAAGTATTTCATAAATGAACCAAACTTCATCAGTTTTTCCTTCCATGCTGGTGGTGAGTAGCTCTGGGGCTCCAGAAGCTACGCCTGCAGCCCAAGCCCTGAACACAGCTGTGGTGAGCAACGTTCTCAGAGCATATCAGCAGAAAACTTCAGTCTCCAGGGGCTGAAGCAAATCTCCCCTACAAAAMTACAGCCACAAAAACAAAGGCGGTGTTGAGCACCACTGGTGTGATCCTGCTGCCTCACAGGCAGCTTTCCATGGGCGAGCTTCCTTTCATTTGCTTTTGTTGGTCATTTCTAATCGCAGCACTTGAAGGGAACTTTATTGTGCTGGAGACAGAGGCGTTCTGGAGGACTGTACAAGGGAAGCGTGCATCTGGGGAGTTTTCAAAACACATTATCCAAACCTAAGGGTCACTACATTCCAGGATGTCAATGTCAGCTGGACACTTATAAATAGCTTTGTCAATCTCAAYAGCACGACCCATTGTGTATCAAAACCCTACTTCAGAGGCTTTTTCAACATTACTTCCTACTGCAAATACAAACAGCTGGTAAAAATAAGTGAATTTATCATCACCTTTGCTTGGCAGTAAYGAGCTACTCCCACATGGACTTCATGTCAGGAAGCTGAGGTGCAGYGATAAGAAGTGGCACCGAGAAACCTGTAAGCCCTGCAGAAAGAACAACTTGGAACACCTGAATCATGAGGTTTCCATGACACTGCTGGAGGAACAACAGCTTAGACACATGCTACTGGTAAAGGAAACAGCAACTGGAACCGACCTCTGCCCCACATCAAATGGAAATGAGATGTTGCTCTCCCACCCACCTCCGCCAGATCCACAGTTCCAGGCGAAAGGCAAACTAAGATCATCAGACACACTGGGCCTGCAGATCCCTATAAAATCATCCCAGCTCCCTGCACAAAGCAAGCCAATTTCTTCCTAATGGAGTTGGGCACTCAAGCCATGCTGGAGCCCAGCCATTTCCCTTTGGTGCCCAAAGGACAGCTGAGCACCTTCAGGAGCTTTTTTTCCCCCCTCTCCGTTTTTTTAAAAATTGAAGTAACAGAGTACTGATGTAAGTACACCAAGCATTSAAGTAGCCACACCAAAGAATGCAAATTAAGTTTACTTTTCTCYAGAACAAGGCAATACTTTAGGTTCCCATAACACCTATGAAAACCTGCAGCAGCAGGCACGCCAAGTTAACATTAGATGTATTTATATATGATATAAATGCAGAWAGAATTGCAGGGAGAGAGTCAATGGTGTTTTCAATCCCTGCCACTGTCTTTACCTTAATCTCCTACCAGATCCTAGAAACATGAGCTTTCCTCAGTAACAGCCCCAATTCAATTTTCCTTTATGCAGCTTTTAAGCAAGCTACMGTCTTGCAAATTCATTCTTGAGCTGGAAACTTTTGGGCCAGGATTCAAAGAAATGAAGCAGGGTTTTGAGATTCTTGGCAAAAAGTAGCTTACAGAGAAAACAGTAGCAGGGACTTGTTTGTGCTCAAACGGCATGCCTATAATTCAGACAGCCACCACTGCTGTTCCCATTTATTTAGTAATATCACACCAGACTTTTCTGACTTTTGAGAGCTATGCTATTTAATGCGGTAAAAATGTTTTTAGCTCTCAGAGCTCGCAAGACACAACACCAAGCTATTTAACGAGAGCAGCCTTCCAACAACAACAAAAAATTCAAGCGGTAGACAAAGAATAGTTTAGAGCCGACACAGATTTTAGCCAGATTGACTTCCGATAGCAGTTATACAACATGTGAGCTGCAGAGAGGCGGCGGTGCACAGGTCACGCTCCATATTTGCCGTACAGCATTCCTCATACATTGGCTCAGAGAGCAGCCAGCCTCAAGGGTTTGCTTTACCCGTGTTTGAATCAGCGTGCTTCTCGCTGTATTATATACACACCGCTAAGTTACTATTGCCGAGTGTTTGGATACCAGTGGTATGTAAACAATCCGCGTTTGGGAAGGTCTGACCCCGTTTCTTGCCGCCCTCCTTGCGGGGTGCTGCATGCCTGCAGACACCCGGATCCCCTTTGTGAGCATCCCGAGCATCCCGGACATCCCGGCTGGAGTCCCCGAGGCGGCGGTGCCGGTCCCGGCACGGAGGCGGCTCCGAGGCCCCGGAGCCCTTCAGCCGCCGTTCCCTCCGCCCACGGAGTCCTTCCCGCAAGGACTTTCCCCGCAGCCGCCGCGGGCACCGGCATCGCCCCGCTCCCCGCCCGGCTCTCCCCGCCGCCGCCGGGCTGTCCGCGGGGCAGCAGCCGCGCATCGCCCCGGTGCCCCGGCCCCACCACCCGCCGGGTTATTCCCCCGCCTCCGAGGGAGGAAAAGCCCCARTTGCGCGCCCGAGGAGAGGCGCGCAGAGCGCGGGGCGGTGCTCACCGAGAAGCGCTCCAGGTCGGTGGCGGCCATGGCCGGGGCTGGCGCGGCTCCGGCGGCGGGAGCGCGGCTGTCGCTGCCCGCCGCGGGTGGATGCGGTGAATGGATCCAATATGGCCACTTCCTGGAAACTCCCTCCGCCCGCCGCAGGCGCCGCCCGCCCGCCGGACCGGGGACCTGGGRGCCGGGCACCGGCGGGGCGGGACGGGACGGGACGGGGCGGGGGCCGGCTCTGCCTTCCCCGGCCGGGGGGAGCTCCCACCGCCCCGCCGATAGCACGGCACCCCCGGAGCGGAGCGGAGTGGAACCGGGGAGCAACGGGCGGGCTGTCCCGGAGACCCCCCGTCACCCCTGCCGGGGGTCGGCTGCGGGTCTGGGGGCGACCACCTTGCCCGGGTGGCCCGGCGGAATGGGGGGCGGTGAGCGCCGAACAGCGCTGTCCCCGGCA